TGAGCCGCCATTTTTCCAGAAGAGGCTTTTGCGCAAGGAAGAACTGTTTATACGGCCCCTTCTTGCACAAGAAAAACCCTTTTGCGCAATGCCACTACACTGATGAAAATAATCAGCATAGTGGCATTGCGCAAGAGGGTTTTTCTTGCGCAAGAAGGGGCCGCGTAGACAGCTCTTTCTTGCGCAAGACCCTCTTCCGCAAAATGGCAGCTCATTATATATGCATATGAGGCTCGGCGATATTCCACACTTAGCCTCATTTGCATAGCTCTGGCACAAGGTCGTGCCAGTGTAGACATAACCAGAAAGAATTTTGCGGAACCCCTAACAACAGTCTTATATATGAGTTGAAAAAGTAGACCACAAATAAGTAAGGATAATAATAAACAAATGCTAAACAAGGTCGTGAGATCAACATTTAGTTTAACTGCACATATTTAAAAACAAAACTTACATTTAGTGTGTACAACATTTTTTTTTTAAACCATAAAATGTTATTGTAATGGAATTCTTTCGCAGGAACCTTATTTTGGGAAACATTTGGGAAACACTGCATTAAACAGTACTTTATTCTATAATTATTTCCATGGATAGGATTACTTGCAGAACAAGGTAACACTTAACATGAATGAATAAAACATCCCTAAAAAATTACTTTTCAAACAAAAAAAAAAATACTTTTCAAAGTTGTCTAAATATTCATGACTTCCTCGGGACCCAACCAGTCCTGAACAAGACTGCTGAATCAGGGGATGTAAATGTCAGCCCCTCTGCTGCCGGCCTCCGGGTCTGCTCCTACTAGGGATGTTAAATTGCATTAAATCAACTAGTCGATGGAAATTCCATCAACTAGTTGAAAAGCAGGGGAAACTGCAGAGCCACAAAGGGGTTAGCTCCAGGCAGGCTCTTAATAAATTTAGAAAGCAGAAGCGTAGGGGGCGGGGGGTGGGGAGGGAGGAACCAGGTGCAAGCCGAGACAGCTGATTGCCGGCTCGTACCTGGTCCACTGTGCTTCAGCTTTTTACAAGTATTAAGAGACAACTATGATGGACCACGTATGTTGTCTGACCACAGAGTTTCAACCTTCACTATATGATAAACAATATATTCACAGCCCTTCAAAGTCACCCCTCAGGGCTATTGTGGGGCTTAATAAAAATGTTAAATGCTATGAGATCCATAGGTAAGTAGGATTCATAAATATTAACATAATACCTTGGCCATCATTTCTCATTTGAGCAGGAGAGGGGGGAGGATGACTCAGCACAAGGCTAGAGCTGTAGCAATAGATCTGCTAGAACCAGTGGCACTGGAACACTTTTTACAATGGGGGTGCTGAAAGTTAGTAGCCCCCAACCTTTTTACTTTGCAGCATCCCTTTAGACCTGCCTGTGCCCCTTCTCCCCAGAGCTGGGAAGGACTGAGCCTTGGGTCTGGGATGAAGGAGGATTGGGGGGAGGGAGGAGCCACAGAAGAGAGGAGGATGAGGCTGGGACCAAAGCTTGGGGCAAGAGCAGAGCCTGGGGTGCGATGGCCATCAGCACTGGGATCCCACAATGTCCCCACACCTAAATCTAGAACTGGTTAGGGTCAGAGGAAGGGGAAAATAATGCTTCCACACCAATCAGAACAGGAAACAAAAATCAGTATCCCTTCCCTAAAAGCAGACCCCAATATAAGATTCAGGAGGAGAATGCAAGGAGAAAAACTGCCTTGAGACACCCTGAGCATGCACACTCATGGAACATGCTAGAAACCAGCATAAATTTACAATGGAGATGCAAAGCATAACTAGAGTCACAGAACAGGACTGAAGTGGATGATAAGGCCATGACAAGCCATTGGTAAAAGCTGTCACGAAGCACAGGACATTGCTCCTGAAGACTTGGAGAGCCCTCTTATTTAGGTTTTGTCAAGCAGCTTGGAGGTTACCTCAGTGGCTCAACAGCGACATCGCAGCTTCCTCTAGAAGTAAATGAGACACTAAATGGCACAGATTTTCTAAAGCGCTCAGCGCCTCTAATTCCAAATGGCACTCCAAATACACAGCACCTTTGGAAATCTGACCCTTGGCAACTTGCTCAAGGATCACACTGCAAGTCGGCAATATATCCAAAGATCCCAACTATCACTTGGTTAGGAAAAGAAAACAATGTGCCATTCCCAACTTGTGTACTAATACAATAAAGAAAGTTCCAATTAGGACTGGAGCCCCCTCATGCTAGGTCAGGGGTCAGCAACATTTTCAAACCAAAAAGCCAAACTACATAAAAATTCAAACCAAGTGATCAACAAAGAGCGGTAAAAGAATGCCCATTTGCATGAATGAAAATATACAACTTTATATTATTGATAATTGCCATAATGATTAATATCATAAATGGAACATTGTACTCGCAGACTTTATTTAATGGGATTTGTGCTGCTGCATCTTTTCGCACATTTCTTTGAAGTTTACATCAGTGGCTCCCAACCTGTTTGAGCATATAAACCACTTTTCAATCTCTTAAAATTTTACGGTCTCCCAAACAATATAGCTGTGCCTGCAGCCTGTACATCCCTCAGCCCGTGCTGCTTCCCAAGCTGCATCCCTCAGCCCACTAAGGTTGGGAGCAGAGAGGCTTCATGCCGGCAGCCAACACGTCCTTCTACCTACGTTGCTTCCCATGGCTCGGGGAGCAGAGCAAGATAAGGGACTTGTGGGGCCCCTGCTTTCTGGGGTGAGGCAAAAAATGAGGGGTTAAGTATATGGGACAGGGCTGCCAGTGAATAGGATACAGATGGTGGTGCAGGATCTGGGTGGGATGTAGGAGGGGTGAGGGTGCGAGGTCTGGGTGGGAGGCAGGGTGCAGGAGCAGGCTGAAGGGAGGCTGTCTGGCCAGTAGGGTTGCCAGGTGTCTGGTTTTAAACCGGACAGTCCAGTATTTGAGCTTTCTGCTCGGGAAACAAATTGAGAAAATATAAATGAGAAAATATAAGTGTCCGTTTTTTTCTAAATAAGATGTAATGTAGATTGTGATGTAATGACAAGTGTGTCTGATATTTTTGTTGAAACCATCTGGCAATCCTACTGGCCAGCCAAAGTGCAGGGTGTCTGGGCAGGGGGTAGGAGTGCAGAATCTGGGCAGATAGGGGTGGGGGAGCACTTACGTGTTTTCACGCCACGTTGCAGGCACTGTATAACATGGCCTCCTGCTGCTCCCATTCACTGGAAGGAAGGATTTGCAGGGGAAGCCCCCAGGAAGTGTTTCTTGGGGAAGGGGGGCAGAATGGCAGTACACATGGAGCCATTTTTGGTTCCACTTGTCGCCCATGTGCTGGGGACAGAGTCATTTTTCCACTCTGCTTGTTTCCCGCACACCTGATCTGGTGGGGAGGCTTGGGGATTTCTCCTCTCTCTCACAGGAAGTCACCACTGGCGTTCCAATCTTGCAAGGGTCCTAAGGCTGTAGCATCAGTGCAGGTTCCCTGCTGTGGGGGGAAGCTAGGGAGGGGTTAGTTAAGGCTCGAGAAGAGCCATAGCTGGCTCCCTAGTGAGGCATATTTGTCTCATGAGCCATACGTTGCCAATCCTTGTGGTAGGTGTTGTAAAAACACGGGAGGACATGGCCCCTGCCCTAAAAATCTTGTAATTTAAGTGAAGGAATGATTCACCAAGTGAGTGACAAAATTGTATTGGCACAAAGAAGGAAGAATACAAGTAACACAAATATAAGTCATGAGAGAGAAAGCCAAATCATCAGAACACCAAGGTGGAAATAAAACACAGCTGTACATCATAGAGTATTCTTGTATTTGATGGATACTTATAGAATCATAGAATAATAGGACTGGAAGGGACCTCGAGAGGTCATCGAGTCCAGGTCCCCGCCCTCAAGGCAGGACCAAGCTCCGTCTACACCATCCCTGACAGATGTCTATCTAACCTGTTCTTAAATATCTCCAGAGAGGGAGATTCCACCACTTCCCTTGGCAATTTATTCCAATATTTGACCACCCTGACAGTTAGCAATTTTTTCCTAATGTCCAATCTAAACCTCCCTTGCTGCACTTTAAGCCCATTACTCCTTGTCCTGTCCTCAGAAACAAAGAGGAACAAATTTTCTCCTTCCTCCTTGTGACACCCTTTTAGATATTTGAAAACCGCTATCATGTCCCCCCTTAATCTTCTTTTTTCCAAACTAAACAAGCCCAGTTCGTGAAGCCTGGCTCCATAGGTCATGTTCTCTAAACCTTTAATCATTCTTGTCGCTCTTCTCTGTACTCTTTCCAATTTCTCCACATCTTTCTTGAAATGTGGCGCCCAGAACTGGACACAGTACTCCAGCTGAGGCCTAACCAGTGCAGAGTAGAGCGGCAGAATGACTTCACGAGTTTGGCTTACAACACACCTGTTGATACAACCTAGAATCATATTTGCTTTTTTTGCAACAGCATCACACTGTTGACTCATATTCAACTTGTGGTCCACTATGACCCCTAGATCCCTTTCCGCCATGCTCCTTCCTAGACAGTCGCTTCCCATCTTGTATGTATGGAACTGATTGTTCCTTCCTAAGTGGAGCCCTTTGCATTTCTCTTTATTAAACCTCATCCTGTTTACCTCTGACCATTTCTCTAACTTGCTAAGGTCATTTTGAATTATGTCCCTATCCTCCAAAGAAGTTGCAACCCCACCCAGTTTGGTATCATCTGCAAACTTAATAAGCGTACTCTCTATCCCAATATCTACTTAATGAAAGACAACCAATCTGAAATAGTTTCTATGACAAGATTACTACCTCTAACATTTATTTGTAAGTGTTCAGATTTTAAATACATGAATATAATATTCAAAGATATTTTGCTGCAGCATAAGAATGGAAATTCCATAAATATTTACAGTTAAATGTGACACTGTTGCCCAATCTCCTTATTATGATACAAAATATTCATAGATGACTTCACTCAAAGATTTGGGATAATACATTGTCCTGGGAAATGTAAATCTGGTCCATCTGCAACTCGGAATATTGTCTCAGATGGACTGCACTAACTAAACTATGAAAGAGGTAAATACACTTCTTTCTCTAGCAAGGCTATGCTCAGATAGAAAAGTCTTACCATACTGAAGTAAGAGATCATCTTCTAGCTCTGGTTTCAAGTATTCGTCTTCTTCCCAAGGCAGTGGGCTGCTGAGAGAATTCAAGTATTCTGCACTTGGTTTCTAAGAGAAAGTTAAATGAGTATATGAAACAAGTTTCTTTAAAATCATTAGACCTTTGTTTTAAAAGTAAACTACAAGACAAATCATTAGTTTCATTTTTCTCCCATCATTAAAATCACCTGGGTTAGGAGTGTCTAAATGACTTATTAAAATAAGTTTGTAGCAAAAACCGAGAGAGATGCATTACTTAGCAATGTGACCAAAAAAGCAGAGGAGAGGGCCTCAACCGTTTTCTTTCCAAGGCCCCCACAACTCCAAGGCCCCCTTATTCTACAACTGTTTATCTGAATATAAAAGCCAGGAGTGGCTGTAAGGGTTACCAAGCAGGGCCCCATGCCACAGAAGGCCTCACAAAGCTGTAGCTCAGGCTTTGGCTTCAGCCCCAAGTGGCAGAGCTTGGAGTCCCAGGATTCAGCCTTGCACAGCAGGGCTTTGGCTGTCTGCCCTGGGGTCCCTGTGTCTAATGCCAGCCCTGGTTGGGGATCCCCAGAGGATCCCAGAGTCTTGGCTGAGAACTGCTGGAGTGGAGAAGGGCACTCCTGGATTCTAAATCAGGCTCTGTCGTCAACTGACTTGTAGCAAGTCATTTAGGGCCCACTTTTTGTAAAATGCTGAGCCCTACAGTTCTAATTAGCCATGTATGTTCAGCTATCTTGAGGGGGCCGGAGGGAAGGGGAGAAAAAAATCAGGCTCAAAACATTCATTTCTCCATCTGAAACACAAGACTAATAGTAAGTTGTAACAAACTAATCTATGCAACCTGAAGATGAAAATATGCCTGGGCATGACAGGTCTCAAAAACAATAGGTTGTATAAGACTCCATCCATGCTAAAACTAAACTGCATCAGGAGAAAGTATTTATGCAGCAATATGGGTGATGTTAATCTTTGGTTATGTAATGTAAAATAGTTACTTGGTACAAAACCTGCAAAGAGCTGTTTCCATTTGAATTAAAAAAAGAGGGGGAATGAGACCTCATGCAAGTTCAGACTGAAATGATTACCATGATAACTTAAATGTGAGATGTTAATTGGAATTGGCAAAAGCCTTTAAAAACTGTTAAGCCAATCATGGTTAACCAAGCCAGGCCTGTGCACCTGAAGTTGTGACAGTATTGTGGCTGGGAGCAATGCCGGTTAAAGTTTTCTGATTAACAGAGTGCTAGATAACAAAGGTTTCACTGTAATACAGTGGTCTCCAACATTTTTACACCCAAGATCATTTTTTAAATCTCCGAACAGGCGAAGATCTACCGCCCCGCCCCTTCCTTGAAGCCCCGCCCTCTCTATTCTCCTCCTGTCCATCATTTGCTATCCCCAGCCCTTACTTACACACTCTGATAAACAGTTTATTTTTAAATTATGTGATGTATAAAATTAAAATCACGTGTTTATAGTTATGAAATAAATGGTCTGGTTTTTATTCATGCTATTTAAATCTAAAATGAAGCATTTATAATTATACATTTTGTGGGGACAGAGTTCTGCGGGTGGGGGCAGGGGAGAGGGAACAGGGTGCTGGGAGGGCAGGGGAGAGGTTTCTGCAGCTGGGGACAGGGTGCCAGTGGGGACAGGAATAGGGACAGAGTTCTGTAGCTGGGGGCAGGAGACTGGGGACAGAGGAGTGGGGACCGAATTCTGTGGCTGGGGAGCG